CTAGCCCCACCATGAATCAATCACACACTCTTGATTCAGCCACCTCTGAAAAAGCATAAGGCTTTGGGGGGCCATCTATACACATGCCATAACAGCAACCATAGACCATTCAGTAAAGAGAGAAAAACTAGGTCAAAAGTTCACAAGAATAAAGTATAAGGAAAAGTAATTACATTACTGATATTAGTATAACTCTCAATATCCCATTTATAGAAATAGAGCCAATATTTCTTCAACTTTTAATTTTGATAAGGAAATTTAAGTACATGGTTTGTTGACTAAATTTGAATAAAAATAAACATAGAGCACTATGACTACTCATTTTATCACTAGTATCTATTTCTGTTATGACATATAGGTGTGACTTGATTATAAAGTAATGGTTGATCAAAAAATCATATAGGGATTTTGCAAAGGTTACAACATAATTATAGTTTGGGAGGTATGCTGAAAATCAAATTAAATATGTCATAAGAGAAATATAATGTACATTTACATTAGAATAAAAAAGAATGAGTACTCAGATTTAAATTAGCAGTATCATATGTGAAATAGATATACATTTTATAAAATAAATCCATGTTTTCATTATAAGGATGAAATGAGTTCATGTATTTAAGATATTTAAAATATCACTTGCCAGAGAAGCAAGGATTCAACAAATATAAACTGCTAACATGAGGATGAGATCTTCCTAATTCTCTTTCACTAATCTGATTTACTAGTATTATATTCCTCACTACCAGGATTTTTGGTAGTAATTTTATACTACCTACTACCAGTATTTGTATGTGTGTGTGTGTGTGTGTGTGTGTGCGCACACACACACATATACACATGTGTTTATACACATTTATATGTAATTTTCATGCAAAAGAAAGATATCTTTAAATTTTATAATCTTTAATAAATATGGTATTGTTAATATATGAATAGCTTGATTCTTTAAATATATATTTTTCATAATATATAAATTAATGATTTTCTCAAGGAATGTAATCAGTAAAGGCCTAAACTATGTTTATTTAGCACTGCACATTAAGTTTTAAAAATCACAGAGGTCCCTTTTGACCCAGCTATTCACCTGCTGGGTATCTTCCCAAAAGAAATAAAAGAATCATACCACAGCGATATATGTGCACCCATGTTTATAGTGCCACAGTTTGCAATAGCTAAAAATTGGAAATAGCCCAACTGCCCATCAACTGGTGACTGGATAAAGAAGATGTGGGTTTTTTTTAAAAAATAAAATGGAGTACTACTCAACCATAAAGAATGAGAAACTAGAGACATTTATAGCTAAATGGATGCACATTGAGGCCATAATCTTAAGTGAAATAAATAGGACACACATGTATAAATACTGAATAATTTCTCTGCTGTGAGAAACTGAAAGTGTAAATGAGGATCAAGATGTAAAATAGATAATGTAAAATAGGAAGAAAACGTCCAAAGGGGAAGGGGAAGGGGAAGGGAAGGTCAGAGGGATAGGGGAAAGGAAAGAAGGGAAAGGAAAAATTATGAGAAAAGGAAAAAACAGAAACAAAGTTTCTGTAAATAGGAAGGGGTGGAGGGGTTGAAGGGAAGGCAAGGGAAAGAGGAAAACATAAGCACCAAGATAGATTATGTAAAGGTATGAATTTCCAATGATGAATATCATTATATTGTATACCTAAAATGTACCAATAAAATTAATGAATTAAAAAAATCACACCATTCCAAGCAAAGATGTCATGTTCCAGGAGACAAAGCCTATGTAAACATATGGATTTAAAATGTGCCGCATATATTACGAAAACTAGAATGATGAAAGAGGACTGGTCTATTAAGCAAGTCATACATTAAAAAGGACAACAATCAAGCTGGCTAACATCTCAGAAACTGACTTTTTTTTTTTTTTTTTTGGTACCGGGGATCGAACTCTGGTCCTTGAAACTGACTTTAATTAAGTAATATGGTCCTCCTTTCTATCATATTTTAGAAGAACAGGCTAGCATTACCAGTATAAAAAACAATTTATAATAAATACTACATAATATATGATAATGTATAAAAAGTAAAAATCCTTGCCTAATTATTGTACACTGAAAAGCATAAAAGTGGACTGATAATAAGTTAAGAAATTTTAGTAATAAATATTAATGTTGTGCAATCATTTTCATAATTTATAAATTTTGTCTAATTTTAAGACTTAAACCATTTAACACCCCATGCATTAGCCTTCAATATTTAGCAAAAGGTTAGTAAAGTATGGTAAAATGTTTTACTAATAGTCTATATTTACTAAATATTAGTATGTTTTGAAATATGAATCATGTGATGAATACTTAAATTTTTAGATATATAATGATTGAGGGATACAAAAGATAGATACAAAAGATGAATCCAGATTTAAAACATGCAAAATCAATGAGTATTTCTTCACAGGGTCACTTCAGTCATTAATATTTTACTAGGAAGTAACAATGAGTTTATTCTGTATCTGTCAATCATCCTGGGCATAAGAATACTATGATATAAAGCAAAGTTGCCACCTGGATTTTAAATTAATTAATTAATTAATTAATTAATTTATGGTACCAGGGATCGAACTTGGGCCCTTGGCCTTTCGAGGCAGGCTGAGGAACCACTGAGCTAAATCCCGGGCCCTAGATTTTAAATTTAAATCTCACTTAACGTTTTTCTCTTTTTACTTCCCTTCAGATTCCCTTTTCTTTTTTCTCTTTAAATTACTGTCGTATTCCCCACTAAAATTCCAAACCTCCAATTTCCGAAGGCGTCTTACACTGATATTGCCACTTAGATATAGTGGAGAGCAGAAAGATTAAATTTTCATCTTTTGTCTCTACCACCCATATTTACATTTTTCTCAGAGATCATCTGGGAAAAAGATAGAGGTAACTCTAAAGATCTTATGTTTTTAATAACTGAAATGTAAACTTAATGGCAGTGAGGTAGGGAAGTCATTTCAAAGGAACATGGCTTTGTGTGTCCTCCATATGTAACTGACTACTTCAGCCAGGTACCTTGTACATTCTCCTGTAGCTCTAACCTACAGCCTAAGTTAGGTGGGGTGGGAGGAGAAAAGAACAGGGCCACAAGATGCAACCACTAGATTTCTATGTACCTTCCCATAATGTTTACGATAATAAACAAATGTTGCTCTAAAGAAAGTTGAGGGCAGCTTTGTGGTGAACAGATGAGATTCTGTTTGCCATGCCTCTCATTGTACTCTAAGTGCTGGTGCCCACATGCTCACTTCAGGTGCATAGGAGTGTTTTTTCCTATCACTGGTCATTGTGGACAGCCTGGGAAAGCAGTTATATATATGGACACTGAGGATTTTAAAAAAATAAATATGTTGCTCTATAGTATTTATAAAAGAACTTGGCATGATTGTCTAACATAAGCCGAAAAGCTATTGATACATAGATAAACTGGTATATACTCACCAGATATACAGCCCAAAATGTAGGGTATAAACAACTAGTACGTGTGTATCATGTTCTCTGGATTTTCTCTATCTTGAGAATACTGGCCCACTCAATAGAGAGGTGATGAGAATAGTTGTTTTGTTTAGTACGTTACTTTACTAATGTTCACACTAAAATGGATTAGGCCCTGTGTACACCACATACTCTATTCAAATAACAGGACTATATTTAGACTATCTTCGAAAATGTACCTACTTAAAGTGATTAGGCATCTGTTTTAAAATTAATATTTAGATCTTTGTAGACCTAGATCAGTGTTCTACAAACTGTATCCATTTCAACCTAATACTGATTTAGAATTGATAAATAAGGAAAACTGTAGAGAAAAATCAATCATTACATTCTCCAGGGTATATTTTCAACTATTATTAGAAGATCTGTTTTATCATCTCTGTATCTCGTAAAGTAACACATTAATATAAAGGCTGTCTTTCGTTTTTAGAAATTTTGATAATCAAAAATTTAAATTCAAATAGAATTATTATGGAATAATATTAAAGATGTTCACCTGGCAGCCTACTTAAATTTGGTTTAGGCCCTTTCCCTCAGTGAAATAATTCAAGAATTTATTAACAAGTTCCCACCATCTTGAACCACTAGTGATTATAATTCCCATCGAGCAGGTTATACCACCAGTGGTACAAAATGATCAAATTGCTTTTATCAGTCTTTTCACTAATAAAATTAATAAAAAAGTAGCCTGATGAGACAGTTATGCATGTACCAGCACGTGTCAATCCACACAACAGCAAGAGATTCGAATTACAGCCTGTTGTGAATATGTTAAATCAGTATTTTTAGATCTACTGTAGAAAATGTTTATATTCAAATACATACACACACACACACACACACACATATATACATACAGTCATGCATTGCTTGGAAATGCATCATTTTGCAATTTTGTCATAGTGCAAACATCACATTGTACATTTACACAAACTAATGACATCACTAAGAAATACAATCTTATGAGACTACTCATGTATGTGATTTATTATTGACTGGGACATTATGTTGCACATGAATATACATATATATGTGTAAACATTATGTGATATATTTTTCTCAATATAGTACTTGGAATACCTTGGTACTACAGTAAGAAACTGAAATACCAGCATTTCAGAGGCATTTCTTTGGTTACCTAAGTGTAGTTTTTATGTTCTGAAGAATCTATAGAAAAAGTGAATATAATAGAAGCATAAAAAAGTAGATTTTTTTTTAAAAGCAGAGAGAAACTATTTGAACGCTAAAACTTACTTTCATGAATAGGATCCTAATATCCCACACTAGTACACATGGCTTATATTGTAGATGGCAAATATTTCAGTGATTTCAAAATATCCCAGGAAGAAATACACTCTTTTAGTAATTCTAATTTTTATCATGGTTTTAGTACTATTTTTAAATTTGCAGTTGTAAGCTTTTATTTAACTGAATTTAAAACTGCATCTAGGCATACTATACACATATATATGAAAAATCATATAATTTACTCACAGGCAAACTGAAGTGTGGCTTCTCTACTAAGAATACTTCCAAAACTGTTGGTTGCTAAACACTGATATTGACCAGAATCTTTTGTTTCACTTGGATTACTTATAATGAAGGTGCCATCTATCAAACTGTAGCGATAATCACTTTCCAAATCGATTTGTGTTCCATTCCGAATCCATCTTAGGAAGAAGAAGACGACAATGTAAAAATTACTTACAACATTATGATACTCCCTGGGAAGTTTTTAAGGTTTAAGAAAAGTGATGAATAGTGAATTCTCACCTGTAACTGGGAACTGGGTTGGCACGAACTTCACAATTCAGTGCTACCTTGTTTTCATCAGAATCAGTTGGGAAAATGATACTCTCTGGTTCCTGAACAAACACTGGCCCATAGTCCACACTTTCTGTAAAGACCCAAAGGATGCACTTTAAAATAGCAAAAGATGTTTTGCACCCATATAATTACATTAAAATTTCTTGTTTTTTAAATAAAAAGAAGGAATAGCTGACAAATACATTGTTTTCAGTAAATCATAGACACCTAAAAACATTTGTTATTGGGTAAACAAAATGCTCTTAAAGATACATGTGACAGAAAGACATTTATGAATATTTTCAATGTGTCCTCATTTTCATTTTATAAAACAAACCTAAGAAATATATTAAACAATAAGAAACCTAAACTTTGTAAATCCATTGGAATGTCAAAAATAATATAAAAAGTGACAAACTAATATGGTGCCAATAAGAACTACACATATGAAAAACTTAGTCCTCATGGGTTTTATTTATTTATTTTTTATACTTTTTGTACTGGGGAGCTAAATCCCCTGTCATGGGTTTTATAAGATATTTTTTCTTCACTCATCACTCAAATATTACTTACTTAGTCCTAATGATAGTAGAGTAGAAGAATAATGTTGTAATATAAATAAATGTATTTTCATGGGATAAATATAACCTGTTGTTAAAAAAGTTTAACAAATTAAATGTCAAAATTTAACCATTGGTTTTCCAAAAGGTAAATATACTATATAAGGAGTTCAGAAGCACAAACACATAAGGAAAGAGGCCACACAGGAAAAGCATTTACATTCACTGTTTACTAAATTTCATATTTGAGATTCTATTTAGTTCTTACTCAGAGAAGTCCTTTGAAAAAGACAATTTGAAACTAATGAAAAATTCGTAAAAGTAGTAGGAATAAAAACAGTTCTCAAATGTCAGCCTAGACATGAGTTTAATAATAACTTTGCTGGAGAGATAATGAATAAATGTGCAATGGGGGAATAAGACATGTTAGCATGCAGTTCTGTGAAATGGTACAGCATCATGAGCATCACAAGTGGTGAATTTGGGAAAAAGTAAAACTTTTTTCTTTATTATCATAATTATGTGACAGCTGTACAACAAGATTTCTGAGTCTCAGCACAATGGACATTTTGGGACAGATCTCTGTTATGGGCTGCTGCTTTCTATACTATATGATATTCTGTGCTGTATGATATTTCTTCTATACTATATGATATTTACTAGCATTCCTGGCCTCTACTCACTGGATTCCAAAGTCATCCTTCTCCAGTGAATAATAAGGGAATATATCCACAGGCATTATTAAATGAGCCCTGGTCAAGATCACCCTTATTGGAAATAACTTATTTAGATAACTAAACAGGAAAGAATTCAGGAAATGTATATTTCTGGTATCTATACTAAATGGTTAGACACTAACATCCTCATTGGATAACTGCAATGAAATATCAAGAAAGTGGTAAAAGAATGAATGTTCGAGGAAACTTGAGCTTTAAAAACTACTTAAAAATATGTAAATTGCATAATTAAAAGAATGGATTAGAGTAAATTGATTTTCTCTTTAAAAAATTTTTACTTTTATTAGTATATTTTTGCAGTACATAGTGATTACATACATTGTGGGGAATTGGTACAGGTATAAAACACATCTTAATTCTCTTTCATGCCTTCTTCCTTTTCTCCCTTCCCCCTCCATCTCTGGATCTCCTCTTTAAACACATGTTCTGTCTATACAAAGAAAGAAATGTTTACAATATTCTAAACACACACAGAAAGGGAAAATAAATGATTTAATAAATAGATATGTGGAGGAAATTATCAAAATTTTGTATTTGTTGTCATAGAATAATGCATTATAAGAATTGAGAAAAACACATAAAATAATTCTGAGTTTTTAGGGGAGACTTTAGGGGAGACTTCCCCTAAAAACTACAAATTCGCCACATAGTAGTTAATCCCTCCCCCCGCAGTACTGTGGTTTGAACTCAGAGCCTTCACACTGAGCTGCTTATTCACTTGTTTGTCTGTCTGTTTATGTGATACAGGTTTTTGCTAAGTCACTAAGTTGCTCAAGCTGGGCTCAAACTTGTAATCCTTCGGCCTCAGCCTCCCAAAGTGGTAAGTAATAGCACACCTGATTTAAGTAGTTGATTTTTACCTAGGTTTTTCTGGATGTAAGTTTTATGGTTTGAAAATTATGAAAATAAGACATGATAAGTAAAATTTTATCAGGTATGGAAAAAACAGAAGAAGATTTTCTTAATGATGGGCTGAATGCTAAGAGGATTCCAAGTAACATGTACTCTATTATGACTGCCCATACTTTGAAAGGTGTCTTGCGTTGATGACTGTCAGTTTCCAAACATTGTAGCCCTATTCCCTGACTCCATCATTCTATTTGTTTCTCTGAGACAAGAAGCCAATCCAAATAAAAGCAAATAGAAAACTAAAATAATAATAAAGTATTTATCTGGTCAAGTTAAGCAGTATTTATTTTCTTTCCTCTCCTCTCCTATTTTAGGTGTAAAATTTATTGTCAGGTGTAGAAGAACATGTTATTTAAACCTTTCAGCCCTCAGCAAAGGACAGTAAGTGATGGTTCAATTTCTGTAGAGGTTAGCTTTTAAAACTCTGTAAGAACAAGGCATTATCAATATAGATATACTCAGGTGGATTTTTGGTTCATTCTCCCATGGTAGTGAATTATAACTATGGATTATGATGATGTATTGTTTCAAGTCATGTCCATATCTTTTGTACTTTTTGCTTGATGGAATTTATAGTGCGGGGAGACAGTCTTCAAAACCTATATGATAGTAAGGTATGGCAAATACCTTGACAAGCAATGAATTAGAATCTTTAACCAAATAAAAAACTTTGAGACATTTGTGTGACAGGCAGATGCCATCATACACAATGTTCATTTCTCTTAGGAACAATGTTTTGGTGGTTTTTTAAAAACTTTATTAGACCTTTTATTAATAGACTACTAGATATTTATTTATAGTTGGCTAACCTCACTAGGCTAATTCTTGTCTGTGAAATGTCAAATTTATAGCTTAAGAGGGGGCCTTACTTCAGAACAGGATTATTTAACTATGATAGAGTATGATGAAATTAACACACTCACTTCCAAGTTTACCTCCTCAAATTTCTCATTTTGTTTCTTCATTGTAGACCAGTGTTTCTTACTCATAGTTTATATTGATATGTTCTTAAATATTTATTACATCTACTCACCGTAGATTCCCTTATTTTCCCAATGCAAAGTTCCTGTGTGCTATATTCCATGTTACGTGGTTAAGAATATCTGTTTTTTATTTATATGGGCACTTTGGTTCTTATTTTGTATTTCCATGTGATCACCTCTCACAACAGACTCGCCTAATTAACAGTGTGGCTCTACTTTTGCTCTTTGCTGACAAATTTCTAACCTACCCAGTTGCCTGTTCCCTTTCCCTTGCCTCTGGGAAAGTGGATAATTTAAGGGCTCTGGAGGGGAAATGTATACCACACAAACCTCAGGGTACACAGAAACCTTCAGCCTACCCTTAATTCCCAACAACAATACAAACTAAACATATCCTTTCTTTTCTTCTTTCTAGTCACTGTCAGACCTGAAAATTCTCCTCAGAAAACCTAGTAACATGAATAACAACTTTTTCATCCCCTTTTGGCATACTTGTGGGATTATTAGCTTTTGTATTTAAACTACTTTTGGGTCTTGAGAGTATTAGTTTCACTCACTACAGGGAAAGTACATAGCAAGTGAGAGCTCCTGTTTCTGGGTAGAAGATAGCAGGTCTTCAGTCAAGTAAAATATGGTAGAAATACAAGGAGACTAACTCCTGGTATACTACAGATAGCTTTCTTTTAGCTTTACATCAGAAAACAGGATATGCTATGGCAGCAATGGCAAACCTTTTAGAGCTTTCAGTGATAACAAACAGACTGCTGTGGCTTATGTTCCATGGGTTTGGCATCACTGTACTATGGGATCATCAGCTGTTGCGTATGGCTGTGGCTATGGAGCAATGCAAAAGGCTATTTGTGAAGAGAGGCAATCATACTGAGCAGCATAAACTATAGATGTTTAAACTATGCTTATAAATCAAAAAGTTATAAACATATATTTCTCTTCAGACATAAATCTTCTTACAAACAACTATTTCTGTGGTCATTTTTTAGAAAGATTATGTCTAATGCCAGGCCCCAACCCACCTCGCCTGCTGGCTAGTTTTAATTTACAATCCTGTCTAGTTTATTCATGTAATGTTACCTATACGTATTGGTAATATAATTTAGGTGAAATATCAGCCTATCAAGTTCAATACAATGATAAGAAATATTCTAACAAACTTAGAAGGAAACGATGCAGACACTGAAACTTTGACTGAAGGAGCCTATCTGGAAAAATTCCAATACTATACAAAGGAGACAGATTATTATCTTTTTTTAAAACCCTGCTTTCTTTCAAACAACTGTGTTTTCTTTTTCTAAGCATGAAAGCATATTCTTGACACTTTTTACTTTCCTCTTACCATCAGAGTGATTTCATTATCTTATTATTTTAAATCTGGATGCACAGAAATTCTACAATGACTAGTAGAATTCTATTGCTTAATGGCAGCTTACTGTTAATAAAAAGTTTTAGACTCCATAACAAAAAATAGGAGTTTATTATTTCATTACAATCACTCACACTTGCTACAAGCACGATATATACGTTTCTCAAAATATAATGCCCCATACTCCCTCTTGCCATTATATTATGCCTTTGGGGATATTTTTCATTCAAATTGGGATAGACTTCTACATCCAGAGTATTGTGATCCAGGATTACTTCCCCACTTAGCATCACACTTCCTCATGCCAAACAATAGACATTATGCCCTTCTTCTATGCTACTACAGAATCCTGTACATACTCTCTCATAATAACGGATTGTGCACTTATTTAGTACATCGGTGTCACTTTCAAAAAAACTAGACACATGAAAGAGTCCACAGGTACAGAGTTGTGGAGATGAAAGCAGGCAGAAACAGTTTCCTGACTGTGAACTAAATCAAGTGTTCCTGGCCTTAGTGACTGA